TGGCCTTGCCATGTGTTGCTTTTGATCTGCCTGAGCAACTATTACTTTGTCGATATGAGGAGTGCACACTGACCAAGGGCAACGTACATCCATGAATTTTTACTGACTACAAATTTAACTCTGCACAGGCTCAACCACACTAGCAGAACATAAGACCTTATATGCATTTTCTGTGCTCTTCTGTACAACACGTGAGGAATGCTAATCAGCATTTGAAAGGGCAAGTGGGCTTTCAAAGAAGACCCACCGAAATGCAAAATGAGAATATATATTCCCCTACCAAAAAGTGCAGTAGAACTCATGAGTCATCTAGAAGCAAATAACTCCCACTTATTCCCCCCACCCACCATTTCTAACTTAAAACACAATCGTCCTCAAAGGATCAGGAGCTTTCAATTTTTTTTTTTCCTTTTAGTAATGGAATTAAGAACATAAACAACAAACAAACCTGAAGGCTAAATAAACCTGAGTAACAGTTGACATTTTCCTTCCCTGCACTGAATGTCAATATTTCAGGTTCATCACCATTTGGTCACCACGACTGCAGCCTGTCCCAAAAGAACACTAGATTCACACGGGTCTTCTCTGTGGTGCTCACGTCCTGCTGGTACCGTGACCCATTTTAGTTCCTGCCTGGAAATGGATACTGAACAACCGTGGGGCTCTGAGTGACGGTGAGGGAGCAGGGCAGCATACAGAAGAGGAGGGGAAGGGTTGCAGCAAAGCCAGCCACACCGCTCTGCCTCCGAGATGAAGCAGCTTTGAGACAGGCAAACAGACAGCTAGACAGGCAAGGTGTGGGGGCTTGCAGGGACAAAGGAGTCAGGGAGAGGAGCAAGAACAGAAAGAGGGAAATATGGGACAGAGATATTCATAAGAAAGATCAGTTCTTGATCCTGAGCACAAGCAGCTTGAAAACATCCAGTCTGATGCAATGGGAGAAAAAGTTTATTTATTTATACTTTATTTTCATCCTAATTGGCACATCCTGCCTCTATCTAGCTGTGCTGGATCACCTACGGTCCACTGAGCCCAAGGTAACCTAACAAGGTAACAAACCACCAGGCAGTCTGTTTATTCAGAAATGCCAACCTTTTCAACTCCAACAAGCAAAGGAGCAAGAAGGACACCCATCCCTCATAAAACACAAACAAAAAGAACAGGGGAAAGCAAGCAGCATAAAGAGTTTGCATTTTAAATCTCATTGAGAGCTTGGTAGGCTCTCCCTGCCACACACTGCTCCCCTGCCTTTAGCATCCATGCAAAAGCTTGTCCTGGCACTGCTGCCCCCTCAGACATGGACACAGATGGACAGACTTCCCAGTGAACCTGGCTGTCAGGTTAGAGACCTAAACAGCTGTAATTTTTAATAAAAATATAAACTGTCCAGTGCCTCTGAAAAAAAAAAAAAAAAGCTTTCTGCTAGCTGCAAACAAGGTCTCTTTATTGAGAGATTTAATTTTGAACAGCTTCACAGCATTAGCCTTAGTGTAAAAAAAAAAAAAAATTAAAATAAAATTTAAAAAAAAAAGCCCTAAGATTTTTGAGCTATTCAGTCAACTGCCTGGTAGGGTTTCTCATTGAAATTAGCTTCTCCTAGCAGCACTGCATGAGAATTGCTGGTTTGCATCTCTTCCACAAATCATTTCACATTTTAAAAGATGGACAAAGTACTGACTTCATTTAATCAAAAACAGAAAGCCACAAAAGTCACCACTGCTGGCAGAGACTCTTAATACCAGCATTTTTCAGTACTCCTGATAAGGGTGCTGGCTGCAAGTTTCAACAGCTCAGTGTTCCATACTTTGCTTTTTTAATTTATTTTTAATCTTATATGTGAAGATTGGTAGGTCCCATATCAAAAAACTCAAAAAACTTATTATACTAAACATGTAGAATAGCGAGCTGAATTCACGATCCAAAATTCTTAAAATGTCAAAACACTGAAGTATTTCACTGGGATACAGACATTCTTCTTGGTTCAAAGCCTGAAATTTAGCTTCTTTTTTAAAACAAAAACAAAAACAAAAAACAAACTATAAAACCCAGGACCTTTTCAAGGGAAGCAGGAAAAATACTTTTTCAAATGCTTTTTGATCCTACTTTGAATGGTAAAAGCTTATTTTCATTTAAACATTTTTCTACAGTATTGGAAACTGAAGAGTTTCTAAACAAAGGGAGAAAGTAAACCGCCTCATTTAATTATCTCCAGGAGTAAAATGGTAAAAGTAAACAAAAAAACCACCTGTGCCTTTCAACTGCACCTTTTATGTCACTGCAACACATTTCCTCAATTTTGTGCTGAATATACCAGTAACTCATTTCTCATTGTTTTCTGTCTGTCTCCAAAGGAATACCTTCTCTAAGGGCACCAATGCAAGCAAACAAAAATACTCAGATTTCTGATTCTGACATCTAAACTGCATTCTAAAATTTCCGTATATTTTCTTCAGATTATGGTTGTATATTTGGAAGGTGAATTTGAGACTGCTTTTAAGAGGAAGGATTTCCTGGTCCCTTGCACACTTATCTTTCCTACTGAATTTAACTCAAAGACCACATCTTGCAAAAAATTCCACCAGATTAACTTTTTTTTTCCCCCTAGGAAATGTTGGAAAGCACAAGCACAAATAGCAAAAACAATAAAGTCGTTTACAGATTTTCAGCGTTGGTAGTTTCATTTTCACTAGCAAAACAGAGAAAGAGTGCTATTAAAGGAGGAGCTTGGCTCTAATCTGAATTTTGAAACTGCTAAAAAGAAACCAAGATAGCTTTACAATAGTGTAAGAAAGGTGCAAGATCAAAACTAAGCCCATGGCAGTGTTCTACCATGACATGATTTCCTTTTAATGAAATATATTGAAAGAAAATGAGTGGCACAAGAATTTTAATGCACCCCAGACACACATTTATAATGATTAAAGAGATCAGTACTTGTAAAACCCAAGGGTGCAACTTTACAAACCTTTACTCAAGCAAGCAGTTTCACTGAAATCGATGGAATTATTTGCATGTGCAAGGACTATTTATCTCAGTTGAGATCTGTAGGTTTAGGCCACACATTTCTATTTAGATCTTCTATGCAGCAGAATACACAAAGTCATATGAAGAACGAGAGAACACTGGCACCTTGGAGTTAATTTTCATTTTTACCAGTACAGTTTTCTCCGGTCCTCTGAAGCATTTGATAGACTGGGCATGTTTCATAATTGGAAATGTTGGCAAAAATACAAATTTCCTGATGTGAAGAACTGCTACTCATGGATAATAAACAAAATCAATTCTTATTTGCATAGTCAATCAGATTTTGGTTTGCATATTAAAGCATAAGATGGTAGAATTTTCACACGGTAGATGGATCCCACTCACTTATTCATGCATATATGCATCCACTAATCCTTACACATGCCAAAATCAGTCAGAAATACTCTCTTTGCTAGGCATTCATAGCACAAAAACACTGTCCCTGCTGCTGTTCTCAACCCTCCCTTTTCGTATAGAGTATGACAGCATTCTCCCAAGACTCCGTAATAGCCCCTGTTCTCTATTAGTCTTCTTTTCACTAGGCAAAGCGATAGTTTGAATTTTTGAATCATAATTTAAAAGGGATGCTGTCAGCTGTATGTGTAAAGAACAAAAAACACTGGACTGGATTTTCAAAGGAGCTTCAGCGTGGATTTGACAATTTTGCTTGTTAACTGTCACTGCAAAATTGAATGTATCTCTCATTGTTAATATTGACGTGTTCTGGACTACAGCTAAAATTTGTAGATTTGAGACTATGCATGCCTGTCTACTAGGAAACAAAATACAAATATTTATATAGTCCAGGACTATCAAAATATAAAATATAAAATATTAGTATTGTCCTATACACCATAAGTCTAACAATAAATTGCAGCCCTGTAAACTACGCTCTAAGGTGCTGAATGCTTGCAACATCTGTGGGACTTGAAGACAATCAGCACCGTGAGCAATTAGGTAACAGGTTTGACTCTGGTAGCCAGTCTGACAGTCTGGATATCAAATTTGCATATAGAAGAGTGCTATATTCAAATATATATAATTTTGTGCATTAAATTAAAAATTCAACTGGAACTCTCTGTTTGAAACCCTAGCTAGCTGCAACCACAAAATGTTTTCATGTAATTAAAGAAAAAAAAAATCATATGTATGATCATCAAAACTAAACCGCGATCTGCTGCAGCAGCCTTTACTTTTAAAGTAAAGCAGACCTTTTAAAGCAGACCTTTACTAGGTCAAGCACAGGGGACTGAAAAAAGTAGAACTGCCTAGGGTACCTGAAACCATCAGGTACAAACAGAAACAGTATTTCACTCTCGCAGATGATTGAAATGCAAGAATCGGCCAGCATGAAGACGAAAGCTCATATAGGATTTCTCCAGGAACGCCAGCTCTGATCAATTGAATGCTGCTAGTAGCAGCTTAAGGAGGTATTTATTTAACAATGGGACAGAATCTAATTGACTTTGCTGGGAGAGGAGCGAGAGCAGGCAGGCAAGGGAGCACCAGCTCATTCCTCTTTTTGAATCTCATGCAGCCCTTTTTGGAAGGAGGCAGGGGCACAGTCTTGTGCTCCCCGAGTGTGTATTTTGCCCTCTGTAAGCACCAAGGGCATATTCGTGTCTGTGAGCAGGGTCTCCCCTACAAAGGGCTGAGCTGCTGGTGGCCCTGGCTCTGCCCTCTTGTGTCACCCAGGGCAGCTGTGCTGTTCTGCTTCTGCAGAATGCCTCCCAGTGTCCTCGCAGTGTGCTGCAGCAGAGCTCTGCTCCCAGCTACAGGAGTCAAACCCTCCTCTGTTTCTCTAGCTCTAAAGAATTTAAACTATCCATATAAATAACCAGAAAATAAGGGTTTGACCCAGTTACGCATCTTAGGGCTCTTTGCATTCATTTGCTAATGCTAAATACAATGGAAATCACAGCTTTCCTAAAAACAGGCAGAGGAGAGAGGAGGAGAATTTGTGTTCAGGTTCCTACCTGCTTGGTTAGTTGTCACAGTGACAGACACAGCTTGGTCCTGGCTGGGATTTTGCTTGGACACTCCATTCACCGCCCAGACTTCAAAGGTGTAGTTAGTGTGTGCCAGTAGGTCAGTAATGGAGACTTTGGTAGTTCTCAAGCCGTTCTGCTGGGGGCTGAAGTGCACACCGCTGCCACAGGACCGGCAGCGGCTGAGGTCGCCGGCACCGCACCTCTTGCATACCACATTGTAGGAGATGTCTTCCCGACCACCTTTGTTCTGAGGCGGGCTCCACTCCAAGTTCACCGACGTCTCATTGACGTTGGAAATCAGGTTCTGGGGAGCAGACGGAGGGCCTAGAAGGAAAAAGTCCACGTGTCTTTAATAACTGGAAAAACCTTACAAAGTTATCTTCAGAGTCAGGGTCCTGGGTGATCCTGAGCCTGTGCAGCTCCCAGTTAAGTCAAAAACAGCAGAGACCACACAGAATTTCACTTCTCTGTGTTCTTAATAAAGGTGAAAAATCAAGTGATGTTAGACACTGATCTCTTCATTTGATAAATTAACAGTATTTTCCATCTCTCAATGTGCCTGGAAGCCCAGTATTGCAATTAAACAAGAGTGGGTTTTTTTCACTTTCACCATTTATACTTGTTATGAAAAACTTAAAATTCATATATTTTACATTCATTTTCCCATGATTTCCCATGCAAAGCATCAAATGCACAAAATCCTGCTTCACTTGAGATTTTTGAGGTCCTCCATTACCTACAGGTAAACTCTCATTGAAATTGTTGATCTCACAATATTTGTTTCTTAAGAATACAAGTGCAATATTTTCCAGACAAGTTGATGTCAGATCGCATTCAGTGAACACTGAAGCCCATTGTGCAGGGACACATGACACTTTGGGGTGCAGGAAGGAGATCCGAGTAGAAAGTCAGACACAGAACTTTGAAGGAGGGAGAATAAAGGTTACCATAGGGGAGTGCTGGAGAACGTGAAAGAATTGGGGAGGAAAATACAGTGAGCAGCTGGAAGAAGAACTGATACAAGAAAACTGGTTAGGAACAAGAGACCATACAGAACAGTTGGAAATAAGGCTGAATCAGAGACATGAAGAGGTGGCAGGAGCAGAGCTGAGCCTTCAGGACGCAGCTCCTCCCAGCACCTTCACCAACGCGCTGGGTCTCTAATGGTTGATGCTGCCCAACCGGGCCAACCGCCTCCAACAGTGCCCTGCCTCACTCTGTAACCAAAGGCAGAAATCATACTGACATGCTTAAATCCCCACAGGCCCCAAACCAATACACACACTGAAAATGCAGAAGAGCTAATCCTGTGATTCTTAATCTAATTTCAATACAGTTTAGGTGAGACACACTTTTTCCACCCTTAAATTTAACAGCGATGATTCAGAGCAACTCCATGAAACAGATGGGTATTTTATATGTCACAAAAAGCTTCACTGATCATCAAAAGGCAGCCTATTCTGGGGTAAAGCACAAATGAGCTCTGACTACACACACAATATTTTGGGACAGGAACTAAGGTAAATATTGAATCGAATAGAAATGAAACAAGAGTGAGAACGAAGCTTGCAAAATTTAATGATCCAAACTGGAATACAGTAAAAAGAGCAGTACTTAGTAATTACTCACAATTATAGTTTTAAATAAAGATATTACCAGAAGAATACTGGAAATAATTTTGTAGAAAGTCACAAATTCAGTTTTTATGGAAGACACAACAGAGCTTATGAAAACTTCTAAAATTTTATCACAATACATTTGATGGTTGCAATTTTCAAAAGTTC